AGAGTGCAAGACAGCGTCCAAGCCCAGAGTTCAAGCCCCACGACCGCCAAAAACAAAAAACAAAAACAAAAAACAAAGGGGGGGGAGAGAGAATGAGACTAACTCCAGTAAAATTGTTTTTAAAATACCCATCAAAGGGAAAGAAAACCTTTTTCAATTAAAGAAATGGAATTAATATCAGTCTCTAGAAATAGTTCTAAGAGTTTCAGAGGTAGTAGCTAGTTCTATTTTTTCTATTTCATAATGCTAATCCTTATATTAATGTGCAGCTTTGCCTGCTCTTACTGAGCAACAATATTTGAAAAACTTTTGCGAGTCAACTTTCTGTCACTATGACAAAATAACTGAGCTACTCAATTTAGAAGGGGGAAAGGTTCATTTTGCCTCACAGTTTCAGAGGTATCAGTTCATGGTTGCTTGGCCCAGGTGCTTTGAGCTGGAGCAGCCCTGTAGATTATGGTGGGAGCATCTGGCTTCTCACCTTACTTCATGGCAGTCCGGAAGCCAAGACAGAGACGGGAAGGGGTCAGAGTTCAATATCTCTTTCAACTGCACACACTCTCTTACAATAACTTTTTCCAACTTGGTCCAAACTCTTACAGGTTCTACCACCTCCAATAGTGTAGATGTGGCCAAGCATTTGCACATGGGACTGTGAGGGACATTTCACATCCAAACTATAGCAGCAAGCTAAGAAATTAAAAAAAAAATACTCTTGAAAGCACACATCTAATTGGGCATTAAATTTGGGCTAAAATGTACATTTGTTTTACCATTAATTTGATTACTCAAAAATTACTAATTTGATAACTCAAAATGCGTCACAATGTTCATTGTCTATTTCAGTCTACCATTGGAATAAAGCTTTTTTCATTTACAGAAAACTTCATTGAAGGGTTCTTACCTAGCATGTACAATCTTCTAGGATCCAGCTCCAGGATGGAAAAAAAAAATCTTCACTAAGATGTATCACACATGCAATAAAATCCACCCATTAAAACTGTGTAATTCACCGCATTTTAACATTGACAGAGTTTTGCAGTCACTATCACCATCTAAGTTAGGGGTATTTTTATTAGCCCCCAAGAAAAGCCCTCAGCAGTTCCCATTCCTATCTACCACCCAGACACCAGCAGCTACAGATGTTTTTCTGGCTGTTTAAATTTACCTGTTCTAGATATTTCATATACAAGAACTCTAGTGTAATATGTCACCACATAGTTTTTGACATTAAAAAAAATCTGAGCACCACCATCTTAGAATTACATAATAGGAATCTACTAATAGATGCAACCAAATACAACCACATCCATGTGAAGATGAGAAGTTTTATTCAAAAAGACTTTTGCAACTGGATCCTAACAATGTGCAAATTTGAAAATTCAAACAGCAAACTTTCTTTTTTTTTTTTAGGAAGACACTTTTTAGGGAAAGTTAGACAACAAGAAGGCATGATCACTGGTTTTTGAAATGACAGGTGGCTCATTGTTGGTAGCTGGATTCTTGGGATAAAACCATAAAGGGACATGATCTTCATTTACTAAAATGAAGGATGGGACAAGCCAAAGTTCATAGGCCTTTAGGAAGAGAGCCTGACTGAAGTTTGGTCAGGATAGTGAAGAGAGGTAGGACATAGGCAATGGTGAACTCAAGTTTTCCTCCCTCTGAGGGTTGGGCACTAAAACAAACTTCCTTATCCCTATCCTCTACTGCCACTTTTGACATTTGCAGACAGAAAGAACAATGTGCTTAAAACATGGAGCAAAGGGCAAACTAAAGGGAAAAAATTGATTTGAAAAAGAAAGGATTGAGCCAGGTGCCAGTAGCTCAGGCCTGTAATCCTAGCTACTCAGGTGGCTGAGATCTGAGAAGCATGGTTCAAAGCCAGCCCTGGCAACCACCAAAAAAAGCTGGAAATAGAACTGAGTAACCACCAAAAAAAAGTCTGGCAAGGGAACTGTGGCTTGAGTGAAAAAACGAAGAGACAATGCATAGGCCCTGAGTTCAAGCCCCAATACTGACACAATAAATAAATAAATAAGGATTCCAAAAATCTAATTGAAGGATAATAAGTTTAATAGAATAAATTATGTCATAATGATTTTTGGTTAAATTATTAAGGCTTATTTTTAATTTATTATTATAGAGGTGATGAGGGATTACAATTACATGTGCCAAGAAATAAGCACATTCCTTTCATACAGTGTCTCTTGTTCTCTCGTTTTCTCCCAGTCCCTCCCTCCCGTCTCTACTCACAAGTTGTATATAGTCCATTATCATCAATGTCTAGTGAGCTCAAGTGCTACACGTTTTCACTCTTTTTCCCTGGAGTTCTGTTCCCTCCCCCGCAACCCTTCTGAAGATGTACACTTAAATATACCATAAAGAAGACTGAATCATCTAAAACTAAAAATTTTAAAAAGATAGAAAAAGAAAGAGAAAGAAAGAGGTCTCATATTTCCATATCTTAGAGTTCACTTCAGTAAATATATATTAGCATGAAGAGACACGTAGGCATTGCACCTTTGTGTTTTTCTGCTAAGACTATTCTCTTCTGGTCTCACTGTGTGTGAGTATCTAGAATCCTGCATAATTTACCATATCCCAGTGTATCTTAGTTCTAATTTCTGCATACCAGAGAGAATGTGGGCCATTTGCCTCTATGAGCTTGATTTGCCTCATTTAATATGATTTGTTCTAGTCCCATTTCTCTGCAAATGACATAATTTTATTCTTTCTAATGTCTGTGTGTATAGGTAGCACATTTTTTGGATCCACTCATCTATTGTGGGGCATCTGGGCTGTTACCATATCTTGACTATTGTGAATAGTGCAGCAATATAATGTCTTTTTAAACATGCAGTTCAAATGGTTCATTTTCTTTGCCAAACAACTTCACATCTAATAGTCCCTTAAATCACTTACACACCAAATCTCTTGCTTTGCTTGAGAAAGTTCCTAAGTCTTGATGAGAAAAATCTAGTCTTGTTCTGAGATCCAAAATGCATTATAAAATCCATTCTCATTTGGTCAGGTTCTCACCTAGGAATCAGATTTAAGATAACAAAAATAATTGTGTTGCAGTAAATAGGTTTGTTCCCTACAGACTTCTCCTATTTTCGTTTTATTTCAAGAATCATTCATTTACTCATTTTTTGTCAGTTTCTTTTTTTGGATTTATTTCTGCTATACTTGTTAGGTCAAAATAAAGACTTATCCATTCTGTTTTTCAATGATTGCAGTTAAGTTATAGGCACTAGTTCTAATATAGTTATTCTAACAGTAACTGCCTATGTAGACTCATCCAGACACTTGAAAAGAAAATCCTTCCATGGGGCTGGGAGGGGGGAAAGGGTTTAAATGGAACTCCAGTGCCCTTTCTCACTAATGAATTATTTGGAACCACATCTCTGCAGTTGCTAGGTCAAAGTTCTTTATCAGTAGCGAAATAGGGAATCCTCAATGTAAGTGTAGGTGTCTGGGGTGGAGAAGTGAGTCAGATACGGTGGGAGTTCCTTTGGCAGGTAATGTTTTTTCTCCATGGCTGAAGATAATTACCATGCTAAGGTTCTGTGCAAATATGGCATTACAAGGCTTTGAAATTCAGGTTAAGCAGTCTTCCTTTCATTCTGAATAGAAGCCAGTTGTGAGGAGGAGTGGAATGGTATAACAGTCGAAAGAATTGTTATCTTTTTTAAACAAACCAATTACTATTGCTTACCCAATTTCTATTAGGTAAAGCTAATAATAATTCCTTTTTTTTTTTTTTACTTTATAACAGTTCGTTGTGTGAGGAACACGCCTGCCTTTTTAGCTGAAAGACTGCATCAGTCTTTGAAGGTTGGTCCGCAAATTTCATATGCATTCTTAGCATTCCTCAAGGAGAAGAAAACTACTGTTTATGCCTGCGATCCTAGCTTCTCAGGATGGATGTTCAAAGCTAGACTGGAACAGAAAAATCTAGGAAATTCTTATCTCCAATTAACCAGAAGAAAAGCTGGAAATGAAAGTGGGGCTTAGTGGTAGAGAGACAGCCCCAAGTTCAAGCCTCAGAACTGGCACCAAAAAAAATTGCTTAGTGTTGATAGTGTCATATTTATCTTCCATATTGGTAAGTTTTTGTAGCTAATTTATCTGCTAATTTACTTGATAGGTTGATGGACACACCAATAAATAAGGATTAGCTACAGCAAAATGTTAGTAAAATTGGCAGCAGGGGTGGACAACAGAACTTGTTTTAGAATGCCATCAAACGTAACCCCTGAGTTTGGGTGCTTCTCAAGAAGCTTTCCTGGAAATAAACCAGGCTGAATCATCCATCTTTATAGGATATTGAAACCCTGTGTGTTTTCCCTCTGTCTGCTGGATCAGAGAATTTCATGAGTCAAGCTCTTGTCTGCTTCCAGATCCCAGAACAAGGCCTGTCTCGGGAGAGACCCTTTCTTTACAGGGAATTTCCTGGAGTTTCATCTATACCTTAAAAAATGGATGTGCTGTTTCATATCTGCAATCCCAGCTCCTTAGGAGGCTGATATAGACAGATTGCAGATTAAGGCTGGACTGAAAAATAAACAATATGAGAAACAAGTTCCAAAAGCAAAAGGAGCCGGGGCATGGCTCAAGTGGCAGAGTACTTGCCTAGCAAGCACAAAGCCCTGAGTTGAAACTCTGTACCAACAAAAAAACATGAATGTCCAAGAGAACACCTCCTATCCATAACTGTGTGCTACCTACAAGGCAGTCATCTCAGGAGAGAGCTCCAATAGCAACTAACCTTACCCATTTGTTAGGGCTATATATTTCTCCATAGCCTCATGCACTGTGTCTCAACCACCTCAGTCCTCTTTCCATTCCCTGACTATGCCAAGTTGGTTCTTTGAATTTGTTGTTGTCTTTACCTGGGACCCTCCTCCTCCAATGGCTGCCTCTTTGTTCAGGTTTCTTCCCTGATTGTGTTATGTCACCTGTTTTCCCTTTCAGCTATTCTATTCTATTTCCCTGCTTTATTTTCTTCCTATGTTTCACTAAACAATTGGACAATTTATTGTCTTGATTAGAATATAGTATCTATGAGGTCAGAGATAGGATCTGTGTTTCCCTAAACCATATGTGTAATAAATAGAGCAATGCCTGAAATGTAAGGGCTATTCAACAAGCATTTTGGGGATGCATAAATAAATGGAATCAACATCTGTCCAACTGCTCACCTGAAATGTGTACATTCTCCCTCTCTATGAAGCAACGTTTTCTTGACAATCCTAAACAAGCATCCTTCAGATTTTCCTTTTTTCTCCCATTATGGCTCAATTTGCCATTATCTTTTCTTTGTTTACCTCTGAATGAATCTTAAAGACTCTAGTCTTCTCCTTTATCATACTCCAATCCAAAATGTGCTCCTTGCACTGTAGAGTGAAACCACAAGTATATCTGATCTCCATATATTCCTGGTTAAAATATAATAGTTATTTCTATTGAGTTGATGTTAACCACATTTCATGGTTACCTAGGCCTGGCTTTTCCAGACACATCTCTCGCTAGTCCTCTTATTCTTGAATATATGATATTCTTTCTTGTCCTAAACCTTAAAACATACAATATCCTCCACTGAAACAGTTTTTCCTTCCAGCTTATATGAAAACACTCCTTCTCCTGGTTAATATTTTTGGAGACAGAGTCTGCCTGTGTACCCCAGACTGACCTTTTGCTTCAGATTCTTCTGCCATAGCATCCCAAGGGCTGGGATTATAGGTGTTTGCCACTATGCCCAGTACTCCTGTAATGTCACTTCCTTGGACAGAAAAAAAGTCTTTGATTTTTCTTCTGATAATATGCTTCCATAATACTCAATATCTGCCATATGTCAGACTATTTTTAATGTCTCATTTTATTGCCTGTACTCTTTACAAAATTGGAAACCTGTTATGGATAACTCATCTCTGTTATTCAGCATATGATTGATACTGGTGCTGAGGAGGGGCTCAACAAGTATTTTTTGGAAATGATTGGGTCTAATGGGAAATGAATGAGGAAAAAGCACCATGGTTGAATATTTCATGTACCATTATCTAATCTTACAAATAAAGGTCTCCATATCATTTTGTGACCAATGAGATTTCCAGTGTGATCACTTGCATTTCTTACCAGGGTGCTGGAACAGATGAGTTCACTCTGAACCGAATAATGGTTTCCAGATCAGAAATTGACCTTCTGGACATTCGACATGAGTTTAAGAAGCATTATGGGTATTCCCTCTATTCAGCAATCAAAGTAAGTCTCCTTTAAAAAATTTTTTATTGTAAACATACTGCATAGAGGGTTACAGTGACATGAGTAAGGTAATGAGTACATTGCCTACCGAGCATGGTTACCCCCTCCTTAAAAATAGCAGAGCATACTTTGTTTTTCTCTACTTGTCTTCTTTGCTTTTCATCTCTTAAAACATAAAGTCATATGATACTCGAGGTATGGTTCAAGTGGTGGAGTGCCAGCCCTGAGAGTTCTGAGTTCAAGCCTCAGTACTGGAGTGCAGTAGGACGACTTAGATTTCTCTCCTTTTCTATGTGTTTTCTGAGTTAAAAGAACTACAGCAAGCTGGGTGCTGGTGGTTCACTCTTGTAATTCTAGCTCCTTGGGAAGCTGAAGTCGAGAGGACCATTGCCAGGTGCCAGTGACTCATGCTTGTAATCCTAGCTACTCAGAAGCTGAGCATTGAGAATAGCCATTTGAAGCCAGCCTGGGCAAAAAGCTACAAGTGGAGGTGTGGCTCCAGTGGTAGAATCACAGTTCAATGGTAGCCTGGGCAAAAAGTTTATGAGAGCTCATGTCAACCAATAGGTGGACATAGTGATGTACACCTGTCAGCCCAGCTACCTGGTAATCATAAATAGGATCATGGTCCAGGCTGGCCAAACAAAAATCAAGGGCATTTTTGTTGTGTTTTTTTTTTAATGAGCTGTTCTTCATTTGTAAAGTGCGTGTGTAAGTTGTTTGCCTATGATGTACACTGAAGTATTTGTGACAATTTGTGTATTGCTTGTGAAAATATAAAGAAAGGAAAAACTATATTTAAATTTTTCTTTTTCTGGCCTAAGGTGTAGGTCAGTGGTAGAATTCTTGCCTTGCATGCATCAGCCCCTAGGTTCGAGCCTCCCTGATAGTAATAATAATAAACATCTTTGTTGTATACAAAGAACACAGGTTTTGCTGCTCTAGTTCATTTCATTTCAGTACACAGGATGTTTTCTCACTTTTAATGGCTGTACATCATTCCATTGTTTGTATATTTGTACCAAAGAGATCACAGATGTTTCTTGCTATTATAAGCATGTTATATGATTATGTGCTTATTACCATTTCGTGAGGTACGAGGATATCTGTAGGATAAATTCCCGATGCAGGAGTGTTGAGACAGATATGTTTTTATAATCATGATAAATATTACCACCTAGTTTCATTTTCCTCTTTCATGAGGTAAGATGTAAGTCCTTGTTCTTTTAGAGCCTGAACAGAGAGTTGACTTCAACCCACAAACAACCCATTTGTGTTTTTACAATCTGATAGGTGAGGCATTGTGTCTCATTATAACATTTTTATTGCCATTTGTTTGTTGAGAATAGGGTCTTTCTATGTCGCTCAGGCTGGCCTCAAATTCTCAATTTTCCTGCCTCAGCCTCCTGAGTGCTGGTGCTACAGGTGTATAGCACCACATCTGGCTTCAATGGATATTTCCGTGTTTTAAATGATACTTGTGATTATTTTTCTGCAATGTCTCTATGTCTTTTTGTCCATTATTCTTTGGAGGTTTTGCTCCTTTGTCTTCCATACTTTAAGTCTCAGTGCTAATACAGATATAGCAACTGGCAAACAAATGGTGAATTAAGGGGCTAGCTCCAGACCTATCTATCAGTTTTCTATAGATTCATTTTCCTATCTTGGTTCCCAAGAACACATGGAAGTGTCCAGCAAATGCAGGATAGAGAGAAGCAGTCCAACTTGTCCAAAGCATTGTAGGAGCTAAGCCTCAGAGAGCTGGCCACCCACCCAGCCTCCAGGACCCCACTGGCTCAGAGGAAAGAAGGAGCTCAGGGCTGGCTTCCCAGAGGTCATGCAGGTGGCATGGCTTCTGTTCCTTCTATGTTACAGCCCTGACCCAGGACAGCCACCTTTCACCAGAGACAAACCTCAGCCGTCCTGGAAACAGTCATTCTTCAGGATCCACAAATGTGGGTTAATTAATGAATGAGTGAATTAACATCAATCACTCAGCTAGGTCTACTCATCAAAATTCTCAGTTTTTGACTTGAGCCTTTGGTTTTGCACTTAACCTCTTCAGATGATGATGCTCGAATGAGCTGAAACTCTCTCTCTCTCTCTCTCTCTCTCTCTCTCTCACACACACACACACACACACACACACACACACAAAGTTGCCAACTGCCTGGAGCTTAGCACAGAGCATTTCCTCAACCGCTCCCTCTCAATTCTATTTGAATTGATCCTGACACATTACAATAGTTTCCATCATCAAAGGAAGATTCAATAACCGTAACCACATTGCATTTACTAAGGCAAAAAGCAGACTCATACATTTTATAACAATTGTCAGTAACAAGGTTGACACAACAGGAAGGCTTTCAGCTCACCCTCCGCAAACCAGAAAATTCAATTAAGCTGTGGCCCTCAGGCTTGCAATGGTCTGGGTAATTGAGAGTTATTATATTAGAAAACATTTAAACTATTTATAGTTTGATAAAAAAAGAAGAAATCCATTGTTGAAGAGTTCAGTTTGTGGTTTGAAATAATATAAATTCTTTTTATTTCCACCACCTCACGTACATTATTAGATAATCTCATGATGTTTTCCTTACTGATGAACAGAATGATTTCAGATGGCCAAGTTTCTGAAATTCAGAGATATAGTTCCATTGTGTACCCTCCCATCTTCCTCTCCCTGCACCATGGTTTAAGCAGTTAAATGATTATTTACACTGTTCTTAGGTGGTGATTGGTAGTGAGAAGGAAAGACAGAGGTAAAAATCAAATGTGTATTTATTTAATATAAAGATATGAATGTAAATTTTGTATGCGAATTTATATTTGAGTTATGTATGTGTTTAATGACTATAAATCTTTTAGGGAAAATATGATAGGTAGGGATCAAGAAAAGGTGATAATATACGAATAAATGCTAGATTGTGGGTTAGCATAGAAATGTAGGAGCAGAGAGAAAAGAAGTTTGTAGTTGCAGCAATGAGTATTGAGTATGCCTTTCAGGTCAACAGAATACATGAGTCTTCCTGTGGACTGCATTCTCTGCTTACCAACAGAGAGATAGGAAGAAAGAGGCAACTTGCTTGATTAGAAATGGGAATGTTAGTGGTGCTGCGGCTCAAGTGGTAGAGCACTCGCCTTGAGCTGAAGAGCTGAGGGACAGCACCCAGGCCCAGAGTTCAAGCCCCACAACCGACAAAAAAAAAAAGAGCTTTGCAGTCAACATTAGTACTGCATTCATTTAGTTTAAAATTTTATTAAATGTGCCAGGCATGAGTGGCTCTTGCCTGTAATCGTAGCTACTCAGGAAGCTGAGATCTGAGTATCACAGTTCGAAGCCAACCTGGGAAGGAAAACCGTGAGATCCTTTTTTTCCAAGTAAGCCCCAAAAAAGAAAGAAAGAAAGAAAAAAGAAACCACAACCAGAAGTGGAGCTGCAGCTCAAGTGGTAGAGTGCTAGTCTTGAGCAAAAATGCTCAAAGACAGCACCCAGGTATCTGAGTTATAGCAAGCACCAGGACCAGCGCATGAAATTTTACTAAATGTACATCAGGCTCAAGATTACAATTAAAGTGGGTAGGGGAGAAGAGTGGATACATTTTCTGCCCTTATAGAATTACACATAAATGTAAAAAAATCAAATTAACTATCACAACTGTTAAGTGTGGTGAAGGGCTTCTATGAATGGAATCATTATTCTGACCTAGAAAATGAGTGGATATGAACAAGACAATGGTCATGCTACCTACACAACCAGAGAACCAGGAAGGACTTGAAAATGATGGGAAAGATCTCTTACTAGAAGGAAAATAGTAACATTTGAGGACCAAGGGACTGATCATGCTGGAACTCTTCAGCAGTGTTTAAGTAGGTTCATCTTGAGCTTCAGAGTAGCAGAAAGCCACTGGAGAATGTTAAGCCAGATAGTGTTATGATCAGTGAAAAGATCCAGTGGTAGTGGAGAGTAAGTTGGAAGAAGCTGCAAGACAGGTAGAGTGTTGGGTTAGGAGACTTGTCACTATGTGTTTTATATAGTCACATTGGAGTAGCTATGATGGTTGATGGCCAGGCAAAGACAGGAAAGAACAAGGGCTCAAATGATATTTAGGAATTAAATCTTCAGGGGCCTGATGTGAGAAATGAAGAAGATGGGTTAAGAAGGACTCCAGGATTCTAACATGGGAAGCCGTGGTGTCATTTCCTATAGTCAAATGGGATTTTAAAATGTCACCTTTTGGAGGAGTGAATCTCTGTGAGCTGTTTTTCATGTGCTGAGTTTGAGGTGTCTTTGGAAAAGATAAGTGGAGATATCACCAAAGGGTGGAATGTACCCAGAAAATTAATTACATTATTGAAACTAGAGACAAGGATCGAAGTCCTCTAGAGAGAAAAATGTAGGGAAAGAAAAGAAAGAACCAGCTGGGCACCTTAACTGTTCTTGTGAAAGCAGAATTTCTTGAATGCTAATAAATTGACTGTGTTACTAGAAGGCAAAGGCATTTAGAGGTAAGGAGAAGTTCACATAGAAATCAGAATTTTATATACTGACTTCTAATAATCCACTTGGATATATTTTCTTGACTAACTGGTAGAATCCCTAATAATTGTTTACAACTCTGATCAGAGATGACCCAAGGAGCTTTATTGGGAGGGGGAATACTGAGCTTTGAACTTAGGCCCTGAGCTTATCTGCTGGTGTTCTACCACTTTTGGGCTATGCCTTCAGCTCTACTTTTTTTTGAAGAGGGGTAGACTCTTGAGGCTGTTTTGCTTGGAATGGCTAGGATTACAGGTGTGAGCCATTGCTTCCCAGATTTTCCGATATAAAGCTGTAGCATTGTTGACAGCCAACAATTTGAAAGAATGTTACATTTGTCAAAGCAAGACTTGATTTTTACCTTTGTAAATAGAGGAAGACCTAAAATCAACACACAACAGAGTATTATAATAATATATTATTTTATTATATATAATATAGATTATATGTTATAGATACTCTATTATATATTATATTACTACCTGTTGTGTCTTACTGTGAAAGCACATTTAACCTCTTCACTAAATGATCTTTGTTTATGACATATTTAACATGACCACATTCTCCAATGACAGCTTTCCAAACAGGAAGCATAAGTGGTGACAAACCATCACTGGTTGCTTTGAATAAAAGTAAAAAGAATGTAAAAATTTTGGACAATCCAGGATAAAAGCCAAGTTTTATCTCTGATCATCTTTGGTACATAGCAAACATCAAACTTCCTCATAATCCTTAAGCTCACAATGATAATCTTTTCTGAGCTGAGATCGTTTATTGACTGGTAAAGGGGAAAAGAGTTGATACAATCATCTACACGGATGAGACTCACTTCACCAGTGCTGTGATTCATTTTGCTCCCTTCATTATTTATGCCATCTTTGTTTTCTGTTGGTCTTGTTCTTTGCAGTCAGATACTTCTGGAGACTATGAAATCACTCTCTCAAAGATCTGTGGAGGAGATGACGAGTAAAGAAGAAAATCCTTGCTTCTTGCCAGCCCCCATGATGAACTTCTTTAACAGCTGTTAACTTTCTTCTCATAGTACTTACACGTACAAACAGATGTACAATAGTGACTTGTTTATCTAACAGAAATTTTCATTATTCCAAAATCACCACATAAACAAAACTGGTGATCTTAGGACATTCCACTTAGAGTTTATAGAATAGTAGCTTATAGAATAAATTTTAAAAATGATATTAAGGATCTGTACATACAATCTAACTGATATTTTCCCAAGGAAGTCAGAATCAGTGTAGATCTAATCATTAACTCTAAAGCAGGATAATAAAAAGTGATACCTTTTTAAAATGTAATTTGTCAACTTGTTGGGCTTTTTTTTGAGTCTGCCAATCATTTCTGTTGTCTGGTACCAACAACTAATGATATTATAAAATACGTATTTGTCATAATATCTCTTGTCACCTATGATCAAACTATAAGAGGAGCAATGGAAGATAAGTTACTCATACTCCAGAAAGGATCTGCTGAGCTACTAATCAATTTCTTGCCTATTAAATATTGCTTTCCCAGAAATGGCTATTTAGTATAAAGCCTGACTAGCATCCTTTGCCTGTAAGTCATTAGAACTATGATTAAAAAAAAAAAAAAAACTTATGCTGGGCGCTGGTGGCTCATGCCTGTCATCCTAGCTACTCAGGAGGCTGAGATCTGAGGATCGCGGTTCAAAGCCAGCCCTGGCAGGAAAGTCCATGAGACTCTTATCTCCAATAAACCACCAGAAAACCGGAAGTGGCACTGTGGCTCAAGTGGTAGAGTGCTTGCCTTGAGCTGAAGAGCTGAGGGACAGCGCCTAGGCCCAGAGTTCAAGCCCATGACCGTAAAAATAAACAAACAAAAAACAGTCTTCATCTTACCTTTCAATGGGCCCTAATAAGAAAAACCTTGATTGATAAGAATATAAGAGGCAAACATTTCCATTTGAAGTTATTAGTTTGGTCCAGAATAGAAAGAATCATTCTGCAGGAGTGATGTGTGTGACCCAGAACTTTTAGTCAATATAGACCATTGGCAACATTGCTGAGATCATTCAGCAAGATCTTTCTTGATCTTTCTTGTTCTGGAATTTCCAAAATCATGAGGGGATAAAGCACAGAGATTGTGTCCGACACATATGGGTTTTTTTGTTTTTTTGTTTTTATTTGTTTTGTTTATTGTTTGTTTGGGGTTGGTTGTAGGGCTTGAACTCAGGGCCCTGGTGCTGTCCCTGAGCTTTTTCACTAACGGGTAGCTCTCTACCACTTTGAGCCACAGCACCACTTCCAGGTTTATAGGGGTTAATTGAAAATAAGAGTCTCATGGACTTTCCTTCCCAGACTCACTTCAAATTGCGATCCTCAGCTCTCAGCCTCCTGAATAGCTAGGATTACAAGCATGAGCCACTGGGTACCCAGCCACCCATGGTTTTGATGTCAGATTCTACCATTTACTAGCTCCATGACCTTGGCAGCTACTAAATTCCATTTGCCATTTGATACCAAGCCTCCTTGGGACTCTTTAAGCAAGAAGGCCATCACTAGATGACAGCATTCAAAACTCCAGAAACTATGACCTAAATAAACATCTTTTAAAAATAAATTTATTTGGCTTTGGGTGTTTTTGTTTTATACATCTATATTGGCATAGATATAGATACAGATAGAGATAGATGACTAATAGACCCCATCCTTGAAGGCAAGTTCTGGAATTCTACTCACATGCAAAGTCTTTTTTTCTACACTGCCTGTCACCATCAACAGAAATGACAAAGCTAACCAGGTGCTAGGCTTTCTGGAGGAAAGTTCAAATGCAGAGGATCTTTATTCAACACAGACATAGACGTAGATGTAGACATGGCATTAAGTTATAAACTTAATGTTAGTCACATTCTCCAAAGCTGTGGAGAAGGAATTTTTTATATGAATATTAATTGCTGTCCAAGATACACTTGTCTTCAATTAACCAACAAGAAATTGGAAGTAGATGTGTGACTAAAGTGGTAGAGTGCCAGGCATGAGCCCTAAGTTCAAGCCCCAGTACCAGCACATGCAAAAAAACCCCCACAAATCTATGAAAAAAATTGCTTCATTAGAGTTCTCCTACATTGTTTTTCCTCTTTCATTTCGTCCTTCTTTCCTTCCTTCCTTCCTTCCCTCTCCCTCTCTCTCCCCTTTCTTCTTTGTTCCCTCTAACTCCTTATTCTTTAGATTTCTTTGAAGTCATCTTTTCCCATTATTGCTACAGAATACTGATTTATCTCCAATCAGTAAGGGCTACAATGTAGTAGAAAAACAAATCCCACAAAACTAAGAAGATCCTGGTTCTTTCCTGCTTCATCAGGAATTCACTGTACAATCATAGAAAACAAGACATGGCTGAATGGTCAGAACAGACATGCCCTTCTGAATATCACTGTATATGTTAAGTATCTCTAAATTCCCAGCTCAGATCCCTATTTAAAGAAGTACACAATACGTCTTAATGATGATAATTTATAAGGTGAGGTAATAGAATCACAGGAAATAATGATTAGAGCTACCTTGAGAAGTATCAAGTGTGATTCAAGTGTATCATAAAATTATACTATTGGTATCAGAGTCATCAACTTTTGGTTTACATATGAGTAGAGGACTTACTGTATGCCACATAGTTTGGCATGCACCTTAGGTCTCATTTATCTTATATCGTTCATTTGTCTTACATATTTCTGAAACAAAGCATGGTTATATGTGCCAAGATTTCCCCATTTAACAAACTATGTAAAAGGAGCTCAGAAAGTTCCTGTAACTGGCCCAAGGTTACACAGTATTAAAGCCAGGATTTGAGATCTAGGTCAGCCGGACTTTTACCTTATTTGGGCATGAGCTTGGATAAGGGAGCTGAGAATGTGCAGGGAGTAGTGGTCACATGACAGAACTCTGAAAATAAAAGCAGCATTGAAATAATGAAAGAACACAGAGGAACGGAGAAACTGTCTCCTCCTCCATCCCTGCTTATCAACTTGCCTCAGATGTACTGGGCCAGCTGCAGGCGGCTGAAAATGTATTTCTGACTATTCAGATGGAGCACAACTGTCTTAGGTGGTTACTGTTCAACTCTTCCAAATACTTAAGTGTCTAAATGCCTGGAAGAGAGGGTGGTGAAGTGTCTAAATGCCTGGAGGAGAGGGTGGTTGTATATAGCACAGGAGCAGTGTCATGCTGTGTTTTCAAGCAAATTTCTTCACCTTCCTCTAAGGTCTTTAAAATAGGGACAGCATTATTTCCATTATAATTACTGCTTATTTTATAATAAAATGAGAAAAAATTTAAAAGGTACATAGCCCATTATAATTCCTCAATAGACGTTAGCCTAAGCCAGGCACAAGTTCACCTGCTTGTAGCCCCAACCACTTAATTTCAACTCTAACATTACAAGTTTTTTTTTTTACTTCTTCTCTTACTATGTGATTTGCTATTATTTTACTCAGGAGTTTGAAGCAGAGAGGATCACTTGAGCCTAACAGTTCAAGACCAGATTGGTCATATAATGAGATTCTCCCACTTTGAGAAGAAAACAAAAAGAGAGAAAGAAAACAAATGTTATCTTGCATCATATTATATTATAGGCTATTATTCAAAGACACGTATTTTTTTAATCGCCTCCAATTTCCACAAGGTGGCAGGTCAACTTCAAAATTCTTTCCTTGACTGTATTCAAGTGGCAAAATCAACTTTGTAGGTGCTTCAGAATAACTGGGCCAAATAGAATGTTTGGAAACATCCTCTATGGAATTTGTCATGGTCTAAGCATCTTACTGTCACTGTAAACTCCTTAGTGGAACATGTAGATCATTTATTTTAATCCTCTGGCTTCCAGCATTCCCAAGACTCTGCTTTTACACAAAGTATAGAGCTCTGTTAGGGATCACCTGCTTACGTGAGTGTGAGCAAGTTGGCTCATTAAACACTGAAGACAATCCCTGAAGGAGAAAAATCCCAAGCTCTGGGCTCTGTGATTGGCAAATTGCAGACAAAAGATTGCACGCGATTTTCTAGGGTAATAGAAGAATGCCTGTTTTATAACCCAGGAGCTGCAAAGACAACAACAAATGAACATAATGAATTAGAACATTCTATTTGACAGGACATTTTGAAGAAAATATTCAGATAATGTAATTCAGACTTTTCTTCTGAAAAAGTGTATCCTCTTCATTTCCCATATCAGTTGTATGCCATTTTCTTTTGTCTCTAATGCATTAGTTTGGGCGTCAGATCAAACTGGGTTCAAGTCCTGGCCTCTCCACCTATTATAGCAACGTGTATTGTATGTATCAGTACATAGTTGACAAATGCTAAACCACCTTACAACTCATTTTTTAGACAAAAATCAGTTGTCTGGAACTCATGATCCTCCTTCTTCCCTCACAATTTGATTCTCAGTTGATAATAACAGGACTTAGACCCAGGTGCTGGTGGCTCAAAACTATGATCCTAGCTATGCAGGAGTCAGAGTTCTGAGAATCATGGTTCAAAGCTAGCCCAGGCAGAAAAGCCCAGGAGACTCTTATCTCCAAAAACACCACAAAAAAAACCTGGAAGTAGAGGTGTGGCCCAAGTGGTAGAATGTTGGCCTTGAAAGGCAGAAAAAGAAGATCTTGAGGCCCTGAATCCAAGCTCCATTACCAACAAAATTAATTAACAGGACTTACCTGAAAGAGTTCAGAAGACTAAATGAGATGAAGCACACCAAGAATTTAACTTAGCAAAAATGAATTACTATTAATTGCATCGACACAGCCTTGCACAGTAGGTTGCAGATAGTGAGTGGTTGATATACATTCGGAGAATAAATAAGTGCTATTTATTTTAGTACCATTCAGTAATAGTATCTCTAAGACTGGCTTCGGAAATCTTCAGGGAGATATTCAATTACATCAACATGGCATTGTCCAATGTGTCCTTTGAAGAAGGGTATCCATTCTCAGTGACTACAGGATCAGTAGATGGGTTTTCAAGGCTTATTTCCTGCGCAACAGTTGAGAACTGTGTGGCATGTGACCGAGCAAATTGTCTTAGTTCCTCACATAAAGGCAGGGTGGCAATAGCATTCATTGTTGAGGGTAGGTGTGAGGTTTTAGCAAGACAGTTTATGTAAAGCACTTAGCCCAGGACCTGTCCCCATAAATGTTCACTATTGTTCTCTAACTCATTTGGAAGATTTGTGTTAGCATCTGTTCATTCACTTGGGGGATTTTGAGGCGTTGTAAAGTTCCCTTTCAGTTTACAGTTAAGGAAGAAGATAAAACAATTTCCTGCCCACGAAATCTTGTTTTAAG